CAGCTGTTCAAAAGTAAAGGCCAAGGTATAAGTTTTCCAAAAATAGGTCAAACGTCAAGGTAAAGGTCAATGGGCTATTATTGTTGGTATCCAAAGTTAGGTCTTGTCAAAAGGAATAAGCATGTGAAGTATAAAAGCCCTAGCACTAACTGTTGAAATGTAATGGTCAAGGTTAAAGTTTTCCAAAAGTAGATCAAACTCCAAGGTCAAGGTCAAAGGGTCAAATTTATTGGTATCGAAAGGAAGGACTTGACACAAGGATTACATATGTGATTTATGAAAAACCTATCGCCAACTGTTCAAATATTATGGTCAAAGTTAAAGTTTGGTAAAATTTTGCAAAACTCCAAGGTCAAATATGAAAGCCATAGCTCCAACCAATCAAATGTTATGGGCAAGGTTAAAGTTTCTGCGGACAAACAGACAGACAGACAAACAGACATCTAGACAGACAGACAGGCAGACGGACTGACAGGGCAAAAACTATATGCCCCCGAATCTTCAATTCGGGAAGCATAAAAATAAGGCTATAATTTTTAGATCCAAATGTCCTTTCCTCTACATTTGTACAGAATACCCAGGTTCACGAGGGTGGAGGTCTAAAAATTAAAGGTGGCGAATATAGAATACACCTCTGACACAAACTGGCATTGGATCTCTCCACTCAGAAACATCACCGTGACAAACATTTAAATCCTTTCCAACAAGAACAACATTTTTCAGTTCCGGTTTTTTTTTTTACAATTATAGCGTCCTGCTGGGAAAAAAATATACTTCGGAGTTGTTTATTAAATATTGGATGATATAATGTATGGTTCTTTTCTTTGATATCAAATTTTTTTGAAAGTACATGTAAACAAGAAGATTTTTAACATTGCATACCTTAACTGTACCGACAATACATTCACTTATTTTTAGTTCGTTAATTTGATAAATATAACACTTTAAAACTACGTGCTATCAGAACATATACAGTACAAGTTTATATATGTTAACAATTTATCGCTTTAGTTCTTAAAATTGATATATTAAAAAGCTCCATTGTATCCACTAACTTTATAAAGGTGCTTGGGATCATTTATTTTTTGACGTTCAGCACATAAACAAGTAGTTCTCAGTAGTTCTGGAGAAACTTCAGTGATGCAGTTGAGAGTGAATCAGTGGATTAGGTAAATTATTCGCGGAATTTTAGATAAAAAGTAATTCTATTTGACTGGCACACGGAGGCATGATAAGCAGAAAAAGTTGTATTACGTTTTCACCACTATAAAATTAATATTTGTGCATTTAATGTTTCCAAATCTCCATGTGGAATACTTTTTTAAACTTCTTTAATCAGTAGTTATATTTTTAATATCATAAATTACTTTTTCCCTTAATTTGTAGTTTTTAAATTTTTTTTATTTTTACTTTACTTCCGATATTTATACTTTGAATTGTAGCAGACAGGGCACAGTAAACTTATAGCAATATTCTGTTAACTATTGAATTTCTTTGACGAAGCTGGTTCTAAGCTACAATAGGTCAAGAGGGAGAACGTGTTTTGAATTCGAATTACAATAATAATCAAAGGGATGATAGGAATGGCAACCAAATTTAAAGTACAGTCAAACCTCGTTATCTCAAACTCTATGGGACCAAGATTAAGCTTCGAGAAATGCGTGGTTTCGAAATATCGAGGTTAAAAAATTGAAAGAAAAAGTGCTTGAGACTGCCAAATCACTTCGATATAACCCTGATATATATTCAAGATACCAGAGTTCCAATTAACGAGTGATCAATTCTGAGTCTTGAACGTAATTTTTTACGAGCGATTTTATTTAGTCTACACCATTTGAAAAGTACAATATACACTGTATATAGTATGCAGAAAATTAAGCAAAATCTAAAAGCAATACTTTCAAATGTTTTAATAAAACTAGCTTTTATATTTAGATTTGTTACTAGTATCTGAAGTAAAATTATGATATTTATTACCGGGTAGTTTTACAGATTTTATTTTCATTTAGGAAATAACATTTGTAAACTCTAAAACCCTTCGTTTGAAAAAAAAAAAATCATAAAAATCGTTAGATGACATAGGTGAAGATAACGCACAGTGATCATTCTCAAAATACAAAAAATACAAATTTATCTGTTAATGGAGCATGGAAATTGCATAGTTAATCCACTGGAACATTAAATTCGTCGATCAAGTTTGTCAAAAGAATAGTCAATTTTAGAGAAACAAACTTACTTTCAGTATTTTCTGAAAAATAGCAAGTAAGCTTTAAAAAATTATTCTATTTCATGTTTCATCAAAGAGTACTTTCAGAGGGATCAAATACAAGAAAAGATATATTGTGAAATATACGAAGTGTCTTTTTATTAAGTGGTCACCTCTTCTGACTGAAATTTGACCTTTAAGTGGTTATTTCCTAGACACGAGGACCTAATTGCAGACTACAATAAGGACAAACACATCGAAAACGGAAACAAAGATATGGCTGTTTGAAATTGACTTTTCAACTTCAAACTCATTCGCACAAGACACATCATATTGACTTTAAAGAAAAAAACATCATCTTTAATGAAGGCATGCAGTGACCAACGCATAAAGAATTTCATTTGTTCCCAATTATATCACAAAGATATATATAGCAATATGAATAGCAATTAGCAAATTTGTATTAATTGTTCAATATTTTTATTATGTAACAGAATACATGTATACACATTTTCAAGAGGAAAGAAAGTAATTTTTACACTAGAAATGTTAAAGTAATCCGATTCCTACGAATTTTATAGAGATTCTGCCTTGTTCCAGAATTGTTGAAATATGTAAATGAAAAAGGCGACGATAAGGAACAGTGATCGATCTCATAAATCTTCTAAACAATAAGAATGATGAAAATGGCAAAAACACGGGCCTTTGGAAACCCCAGAGGTAGGATCAGGTACCTAGGACGAGTAGGCATTCCCTGAGTCCTCAGTATGGATCAAGTAAAGAGAGCAAATAGTTGCCTAGCAATTGGTATAGAACATATGTCAAAATTTCATGTTGTTTGTATTTTTTCAAAGAAGGTCATTATATCGACCATAATTATGATTTGCAAAATGTTGACTTTAAACGAGATAGTTGAAAGCCCTGTAACATCAGCTTATTTGTCTGAAACCTGTTCCGGTTTAAAATCTGATTCACTCAAAACATGACTTATTAAAAAAAAATTTCTCTTTTTATTTGTTTTTCCTATAATACTCCACATTCTTCAAAAATTATAAACACATTTTATTACATTTTCAACAGTAAAATACTCTTCCTTATTCATTAAATACAAGTGATATTTTAGCAAGTAATATTATGAAGTGAAAATTTCAAAAGTACCAGTAGTATATTTTCACTAGTAAACTTTTTTTTTTTTTTTTAAAAAATGGACAAAACTCTCGATTTCCTTCGCATCACGAAGACTGTTTTAAAAAATACCCCATATAGTTAGCGAGAGTTAATAAATCCTCCTGAAATGGATAAAAAAGCAAAATTTTTGTTTTGTTTTCACCGGCATATGGTATCGTATTTACATGAGTTAAATATTCTTGAATGGGACGTAAAACGAACAAACAAGATTGTTCGTAAAATTTGTGTGTATAATTTTTTAATTTTTAACCCCACAATCTCGTGTCGCAACTGCTACGTTATACCATCACAACATATGCAATTGCGTAAAGAAAAAGCAGTGGCAAAGGAAAAACCAAAAAAAAAAAAAATGTTACAATTAAACAGAAACTGCAATATGTTGTAATTGGAAAGAGAATTTATTTCACTCTTGAGACCAAAATTATTGATAAGTAGTATTTCGCACTTTTAAAATTATCAAAAAAATCCTCTACCACTCGTGAAATAAATTCCATATCCAACTTCAAAACATATTAATATCTTCTGCATGTATGTCTACAACACCAAGACCAAATGTAAGGATTTGTAAAAATTTAACCTGTGTCCCATTCACTATATTGCTGCTAATTGTATATTTTTTGCCGATTGTTAAAAAAACCTGTTGATTATTTTTAGAACCTGACAAGGATCGACGTAGTACAAATGAAAGATGGAAGGTCAGGGTTATTAAATCACATATAAAATCTGGGAAAATTAAATCAGAGATGTTTGCCTCCATCCTCTACGTTCGCCAAGTTAGTTTGAAACATGTTGCGTGTGACCTTCAAATTAAACCAGCTGTCGGATGAATGATGTATATGTCTAACCTGTTCTGACCTATCTAGCTAGTTCTTTATTTAGTGAGTGGTGAAATTCACAGAGTCTCTAGTGGATCTAAACAAAGATTTGAATAGGAATATGAGTTCAAAAAAGGTTTCATAGATCAAAAACGATTTTTGTATGATTTTTTTTTTTTTTTATAATTCCTCATAACAAAACGTTGAGGGGTTTTTAAAACAAATTTTTGATCTAAAGCATCGGCACATACTCACAAGAAATTCTAATATACGTTGGCAAAAATCAAAATGCAATAATTATGAATGTTTGAAAACTTTGTGCAATGTTACACATTTAAACAGTTTTTAAGTATGTTTGAAAATGCACAACTATGTTTCGTTTGCATGTATTTGTCAGAATATTGTTCATTTTAAAAAAAAGGTGGGGTTTTTTAGAATCTATATCTAATAGTCTTAAAAGCTTACTCTTTGTTCCTCTGAATGTTGAATTTCAAATGCATTTGAAAGAAAATACCTTCAGAATATTCAAGAGGTTGAAATAACAATTGTTGGGAGCATTTAACGCCGAGTCGGCAATTTTTTAGTCATATTTCGGCGACAGGAGCATTTCATATATGTGGTCGATGAATTTGACTTTGCTGGTAAGATCATTAATATTAATAGACTGTTTTACTGTCTATAATAAAGCATACTTTGAAAGAGCTAAATAATCGTAATTTACTCTATCTTCTCCATTCTATGTATTTAAGACCTATTATCAACATAGCTTTGAAAAATAACATTACTCTTATTCATACTTTATTTATTATTCAAGCATTTTTAAAAACCATGATGCAGACATTTTTCAAATTGTAAAAAGAAAATGTAATGATATCATTTTGAGCACAATCGGGCCTAGAGTGTTATTTTTAGTTCAACCTCGGGGAGAGTTTTGAAGAAAAGTTCTCATCAGTCGTTCTTTGTAGCATTCCATCTTCCAGGGACTTCCTAATTTGGTGGGATGTGGATATACTCCGTCAGTAAGTCCGGCACAACTAGGATACAGAAAAATACAGGGGCTGCAGTTTGGTCCATTGCACAGATTGGCTCTGTATTCACCTTAAATAAGTAACAAAATAGATGATATAATTATACATCTTCAAAATTAAATCATAACCTTTCACTTATATGTTTGATGCTTTGCTTAATGATTATATGTACTTTAATTTGGCTTCATATAAAAATTCTGTTTCCAGGATCATGAAGCAGGTTTTTGACTTACAGCTGGATACAACTCTTAAAAAGTAATACTCAATAATATTTTTCCAATTTCCGATGAGATTTACTGGGGTACACCCCTTGCATTCGTTATACCTGATTACCTGCATGGAATTGATGACACTTCGCTTACATAGCCTTTGTTTATATTTTACTGTATTTTACGTATATTTGTGTTTGTACTGCACTGATCTGTGCCACTGATGTCATATTTCTTTTGTAACTTTCCTGTCTAGGAGGAAGCACGTAGTAGAGTAAGTTACTTTTGTCGCTACAGGTTATTTTACAGATGGAGAGAAATGTGCTGAACTAATTCCTTTTTTCGAATCGTGTTCAGCTTTATTTAATCAGAATTTATACCTTGACTTGAAGTTAAAATATAGAAAACACATAAAAATTTGAAAAAATATTTTGTAAGAGTTGATTTTTTATAAATATTTTTTTATAAGATACTAAAGACTGCTTCGTGATCCCGGGACCTGGCTGATGGTAACGTTTAGAATTACGTTCTTTTAGGTGTCCCTGTGACTCTACACCTTTGACGAATTTATGCTTATATTCCTGAGATACCGATAATCATTGGCAAACTCTTTTTTCTATTAATTTTTTTTTTTAATTCTATTTTTATTTAGTGTGGAATCTAGGCATGTTTAAAGGACTTATCGCATGGTCTTTCAAAAATCGTAATTTTATGAAAAATATTATCTATAACCTTATTTATTGAAATACTGAATACAATAAACGTTGTTGAAAGTATATTTTAAGAGATATTGAGAGTTGAAATTCAAATACGGCAATATGCATATTTTAGTCGGATTTCGGCGAAATACTGCTCTGACGTCATAGGCGACAATTCGGTGATAGAGAGATGAGAATATGCACACTATTAACGGAGTTATCAATGAAATGCAGCTAAATTACGAAAAATGCTGCAAAAAATAATTCCTTATATGCTTTTCAATTACTATAGAAACATTAATTAGTTCTAAGGTATAAGGCTTTTAAGATATTTTTGTTTTTTATTCAAAACATTTAGAATCTGTAGCTCTAATTAAGGCAATGTTTCGTGATCGGGAAATTATTTTTCAAGATAGCCATCCTTTAAAAAACATATGAAGACTTGCATAAATTAATATTATATACAAAACGAAGAATAACAAAATTATATAATGTTTAATTTGTGAATCAGATGAGTTAACACATGTGATAAGATGACAAATCAAATTGCATTGTTATGGCGAGTTTCTTCGTCTTCGCTGAGTCTCCCTCGCTTTCGTCGCTGTTATTTTTACAATGTTAACAGATTTTTCAGTTTTTTTCTTTTTTGCTGACATTTCTAACATATAAGGTTGAATATTCAATTTTATATCGATAAAATAAGTGATTTGTCGTCCACAACGCAGAAAATTCAGGTTGTGTCGTGTATATTTTAGTAAGATTAATAAAGAGCTGATCAGCCATTGTCGCCTTTGACGTCACAGGGTCACGTGATCGCTATCTAATTAACTTAGATTTTTAATTTAGGGGTTTTCATTTGAGTCAATAATTGGTTAATTACCGCGATTTATCCACAGTAAAAACACAGAATTTATAAATTGTGGACATAAGGAAAGTAATACGCTTTTAATTTCAAATAATTTAGAAACATGCGATAAGTCCTTTAAGTCTTCGAAGATAAGGATGTTCTTGTAGTTTGTGTTCTGGGTGCTTTGCAACAAGTTACATCCTGTACAAACATTTACCGAATACTTAACTTATGAAATAGACAATATACTATTGTTGTGTTCTATCGAACATTAATTGATTATATTTGTAAACTTAACGGTGTTATAAATCACACGAATATTGAATCAAATGCATAAGAGCTATAAATGGAATTTTATATATACACCTGTGTGAGCTACAGCACGTAAAGTGCTACTTATCGTCACTCATCATTCATATACATGTATTTATAAGACCTTGTAAATAGATATTTTAAGCTATTTCTATAAATTTTCTCAAGTAGTTTAATATACAAATTTTTGCTTCCAATAAATATTGTATTTAGGATTTTTTAACTTTTGATTCCAAACAAAATTTATGCACCAATTTATATATTTTCCCTGTTGTCTTTTAAAAAAAAAATTCCTGAATAATATGCTTTATTTTCCTTTTTATTATAATCGTATTGATATTCTGAAGCTTCTATGAGCGTATTTTGAAGATTATGAAATTTATGGTATAAATGTAAATTGAAACGAATATTTTAACTTAGTTGAATACTATTCATGTTTACGGTACATGCTTGAAAAAATACTTTTTTATGCTTACATGCTTGCTTTCGCTCTATCCTGGTTCCGCATTGTACATTCTCAAAGTCCTCACACCTGAGTGTTTTTGTAGAGAACAGCTGGGGGTATTTACACTCGCGGAGGTATCTTTCACTTGTAGCAAATTCTGGGGCTCTCGTTGAGGAGCAGTCATAGTAGAGGTGACACTCTGTTTCATGGGGTAACTTCACGTCCTTATCCTCCTCACATAGAAGTTCATCAGCTGAATCAAAAAACAGTATTTTATTCTACAATATTCCTTTTTAAAAAAATATTGCTGGTTTCAATTACCACAGTCTTGAAAATTTAGTGTGAATACAGATTCCTTATTTTATGCGAATACTTAAAATGACTCATGGACTTTAATTCGCGAGAACTTGTATTCACGAGTCGATCGTTGTTCAATAGTTTTACATGTATTTCGGCAACATAAAAATAAAGAAAAGTAATTTTATTTCGCAAGCTGTGCTTCTCGCCATAACAAATTCCTCGCTTACATTTAGATATCTTCAGTGTATTAAGGTGACGTAAATCAAATTTTTAAAGGAAGGATTGAAGAATAGGTTTTCATGACATTTTTTTTTTAATTTTTGACACAATGCTCAAGAGATACCAGGTATAGATACTTTAGTTTACGGGAAGTTGTTCTCAATTTTCAACAATCGACAAATACTGTATTGTGAATCAATTAAAGAAACTGGAAAAACTGTGTACATTTCTTAGTAATTACTGCATGCAGTGTAACGACTTTTAAAATATACAGTTTCAGGAAATACAAAAATTTAATAATTTCAGTATACTGCGTATATAATTTAGTTTTCATTGATGTCAAATTTCATCAACAATATCCTCATAATGATAAGGCGAAATATTTGTCAAATTCATATGTGTTGAAACAAACCCTGGAGTATCCAACTCTCTATGCTATTTACACACATGTTGCCCAACAAATATCAGCATAGTTTAATCACAATATCAAATTATCCTAGGGGCTAGTCGTCTGTACTTGTAAAAATAGCGCTATAATAATGAATAATATAATACAGACGAATTCAAAATGTCCCTATACTTAAAAAAAAATATGAAAAAAATTACCCCCCCTCCCCCCCCCCCCCCGCCTCCAAGAATGCGTTTATAGCCCCTAATATAGCGTATTATTTTCATACATTGCATCATAATTTTAAAGAACAAGTATCAATAAAGCTCATCTGTGGTCCCCGATTATTCATCAGATTTGAACCTTTATTAAAAGCCTTCAGAATTAAATGCTGGTGTATTTATCAGAACATTAAAAGAGAGCGTTTTTCCATTGCTTCAAATCTGTCTAAACATACCACTCAAAATGATCACAAGAAGCAATCAAACGTTATGTCGCGCACAGGGTGGATGACAATGTAATAATTCCGTTTCTATCTATAGATACTGAAATCCTGGATATGTATTTCATATCTTAGAAAAGGATGAGAACAAAATATTATACTTCAAATTGGGAATAAAAGATTGTATTCTTCTTGGAATATTTTTTAAGGAAGTCGCTCGTCAACAATCTTTTGAGATGGGTATAAAAATGTAAACACAGAAAGAATTTGTAAATGCGTGAAATTCATAAAGGCAGATGGACTCTATAGGTGCAAAAACATTTGTATGGCAGAATTTTGTTTATAGATGTAACACATTTATTAGGTTTTCTGCTTGTTACTCAGAAGTTTTTAAAATGGATGCATATTTGACATTAATGAAATATTTTCAAGCTTTTATCTACATAAATATCCTGCTAATGAGGGCAACACTTTTACAACTCGGCATCATCATACAAACATGTACAATTTTCCAAAAAAAATGTAAATACATGTAATTCCTAAAGAACAAGGTACGGTTTCAATACAAATCTGGCCCTGTATTTTTCTAATATTTAGAAGTGATATCAGAAATTAAAATTCATTCTTTCTGAATTATTGAAATTCCATGCAGTAAAAAAATAAAAATTGTTTTACCAATATGACCTTCTAAATGCTAACTGTGACGTCATTAACTTGTGTAAAATTGCAGAAGAGAAAACATACAGCGCATGCATCGCCCACATAGGTTTTGAGGTATCTGATTTTTCAAAGCAAATTGCACAATATATCCAAAAATTAAAGTGGGCGACGGCTGCAGGCACTATTTTCTACAGGAATATAACCACAAAAATTAGTCATTTTGAGGCTTTTCTGCATAAAACTTAGAAATGTACCAAATTAATGACTTCATATTTCCAGAATGGTAATCCTTCATGCCATATTCTTCAATGATTTATCATATTCATCTACTCAACTCATGTTAAAACCAATTTAATATCACAACTTTTTAAGAACATAAAATATTTAGGGCACAATAAACCCAAACCGTACCTTCTTCTTAGATGTATTTACAAAGCAATTAAGGAAATGCACGAAATTCCTAATTTCACATACTAGTGTTTATATTTACTGCAATATAATTCATATACCTGTACAACAAAGGTTAACTGCAACTGTGTAATTCTAGGAATATTAACAAATCAATGTCATGAAATTTTTACAAAAGATACACAAGATACCTGATGTGCCATAGAGAAATTGTGATACAATTAACACGCACACAACTTTGACGTCAAATTCAGCCATTTGTCCTATAGTTATCTTCTCCTTCTGTTTAGAATAACTTTGTAAATTACACTTCCTGTATTTCCTGTTTATATATATGGATGGTTTCTTATCAGACCAGACAATCTGGTCATGATGAAATATCTAGTTCTGTGTCATTTGAAGTGATTGATGCCAACTCAAATTAGATAGTTCGGAAAATAAATATTTGTACCCGCTGTTGCAAATGATGTCAATTGTCACCGTTTGACCTTCTATTTGTCAAGTATTCTAGAAGCCAGGCTTGTTTGTAGTTTGGTTTTTAAGCATTTTATATTGAACCATTAAGGGCATGTCTGGATTTGTAAATTTCAACATCATTTCTGTTCATTTTTTAAAGAGGATAGAAGTATGAGTACATGTATATTAATTAAGTGTTTTAATTAACCAATTTATCGTTTACCTAATATTATATTCTTAATTCGAGCAACTTTTGGTCATTTAAATGACAAGATATACATATGCCGAATACAGTTGACTTGAAAAAATAAGAAGTTGTTTCGGCCTTTATATGTCTCAAATTTTTTGATATTATTTCATATAGAACTGTATTTGGCATATCCATTACATATATTTCGACAGAGGAAATGCTAAGCACATAGGTAGATGCATTGCTTTCTTTGTTTACATCGTTGTTTCTGAGCATATAATATCATCTTTTAAGTATGTTAACATATTTTTGATCTCTTCGATGCAGTTTGGCAACTCGCCAACTCATACTTTATAGTAGTTTCAAAGCAATATCTAAGGATCGGCAGCTAGAACACTATATAACAAAGATAAATTCGGAAGCGAATTAATAAAGATACAATTAAGAACATGTTTCATACAGACCAAAGCAGAGTTATTCTGCAAGATTCACCTTTTCGTCTTCGGGTAACATTCAATGTCTTGCAATAATAAATATTCATGAAATCTTGCATTACCAACATTTTTGTGAAATGCATGAATATGCGTGAATATACATGTATGAGTTGAAATTAAAGGGAAGTCACCTTTAACTTCTGTTAACCATAGTTTTAATATCAAAACATTAATTAGGTCAAAATTTGCAAAGATGGGGATTGTATCACTCTGCCTTCATACAAATATATAGATTTAGAAAGGGCCATACTCGGATTAACTTCTGAGGGAAATTTTCAATTAAACTTAAAATATATTTCTTGGGGAAAGGCCATTGTCGTAGTAGTATTTTTTTTAGCAGTGCCACTTAATGCTGGGGTACAGACCGACCCTGTGTGGCAAAATCAGCTTCAAGTAAATTAATTTTCAGCTATATATTAAACAAAGAAAACAAAAATAATGAAAGAATTACATATTTAATAATTTTTTGACGTAAATGATACATTAGCATAAATGATTTTTTGTCAAAAACAAGTCACATGCACAAACTGATGATGCATCATACCCTAATTCTAGATTCCTGTATGTCAATTTTCATACAGGTGAATGTTTGATTTCAATTAAATATCTAAGTAAATCTCTGGAAAAAATCCAAATAAGGAAAATTTAAGTACTTTTATTTTCGTTAAGAAAAAATATTTATAGAAAAAAATGTTTAACATCTAAATTATACAAATTTTACATTCTTCATTAAGACTCGTTTTTTAAAAGAATGTATTTTCTAAGTACAGAAATTGAAAAACAAAACTATATCTCTTTTAAAATAATCAATTATAAATACATTAATTTTTCTTCTTTTTTCATAATAGTCAAATCTGCGTATATAAGGAGGAAATTTCAAAAATTCAAAATTTACTTGATACATCTTTAAGACCTCTCATTTGAAATAGGGTTTCAGCATGGAAAGATTGATATTAGCTCTTAATCATTTTATATGAATTCTTTTGTATTTTTGAAAGAAAATGAAAAAAAAAATTGCAAATAAGATGCTTTAGAGTTTAAATTCAGTTTAAATCTCTCAGTTGATTCAATACGCAAGAGCATGCTCTACGTATGAACAATTTCTAAAACGAGGTGAGTTATTAACAAGCAAGTTGATGAAACAAGAATATCAGCAGTCTCATTTAAAGCCGTCATTTCTTAAGTCCTATGGTCGATACAATGACCTTGTCACCAAACACAATTTATCATTAAGTCAAATGCTGACCGATGTTCTTCATACTAATTGCTAGGCCATTATTTACACTCTGAATTGTCGACGGATTTTCCGTTATTTCCCGATCATGACAAGGAGCACACGGCGGGTGTGACCGGTCGGTAGGGAATACTCACTCCTCCGTGGCACCTGATCCCACCTCTAATGTTTTAGAGGTCCGTGTTTGCTCTGTTCCAAAATTTGTACTGTTTAATGGACTTTTGAGCTTGAATACTGTTCGTTATCTCCATATATTTCATTTTTCTGTAAAAAATGCACAATATAAATATATAATAAAATATGTCTAGAAGAATCATAATATTACATAAAAATTCATATAAAACAATCAAGAGCTAATTTTAATTTTGCCTAAGAAGACAATAAAGCTCTTCTCTACTGGTCGCAACCTCATAATTGAAGATACATGCATCTCTATACAAATTCTAAAACAAATGAAATTGCCAGATTTTTTCACCCATATTTAAAAGCAGCCTTTTTCAATCATTTCGGGGAGAATATAACATTGAAATCTTAAAAACAACTGGGAAAATGTAGTTAATTTGGAGTAAAAAAAAAATATAAACTGCGCAGATTAGTATCAAGTTGGGTTTACAGTATGTAGTCAAAGGAGAATGGCTTCACCTTAACTTTTCCCATGAACATAGTAGCCCAAAAAATACTTTTATCAAGAGATTTCTCAAGTATATAAAAATGTAAGTTCTTTAATTTACTCTTTACCCTTGAAACTTTTAAACAGACTTTTCGAAGAAAGTAAAGCAAGTCCATACTTCGATTCTTCAACTCCAGAATACAGACTTGTACTCATAATTATTAATGCTGTCCATCACAGGTTCTTTATATCGCAACGTTACGAAAGATAGTATTCCGATTTGTCAACAAATGTATAGAAGTAAACATGCTGTAGACATTGATAACATTCTAAATCAATAAAACGTTCAGCCTTGCATTATACTATGTTTCTAATTGAAGTCTACAACTTGCATTTCCTACAGATATAAACTAATGATTACATCCAAACTTTTCTATCACACACACGAACTCCACACTGCCTAGATATTAACCTTCTAAAACATGAGTACCCCTGATCTTCCTTCGATTAGCTATAAATCAAACGGGATAAGTTTGGTTTGTGCAACGTCAACTTCCACTATTTATATAGGTTTTTATATTACCACCTGCATATAGTATTTGTATCCATAGTCCTTCTGTACACACTATTGCTGGTTATGCAAATATAGTTGAAAATAACAACCTGAAAGCAAGCATATTAAAGTATTGCTAAAGATATACAATGTAGTTAAAAGGCAAGAAGCGAATCGTCTAATCCTTGTTCTCTTTTCAATGAAATATGAAGATAACGAACAGTATTCAATCTCTAAGTCCAATGAAACGATGCAAATTTGGAGCAGAGCAAACATGGACCTCAAAATTTAGAGTTGGGATCAGGTGCCATGGAGGAGTGAGCATTCCCTGCCGACTGGTCGCACCCGCCATGTGCTCCTTGTCATGATGATCGGGGGGAAACGGAAAAATCCGTAGACAGTTCAGTGTGTAAATAATGACCAAACAATCAGTATGAAAAAAGTCAGTCAGCATTTGACTCAATGATAGCTTGTATGTGCTGACAAGGTCCTTGTATCGCATAAAATTGCGAAAAAATGACTTTAAATGAGACTGCTGATATCCTTGTTTATTCAACTTGTTTGTCAATAGCTTGCCTTGTTTAAGAAATTGTTCATACGTAGAGCATGCTCTTGCGTATCGAATCAACTAAGAGACATAAACCCCATATGCAGGTGATAAGGGTATATTGCTACATAAGTAAGGAAAGTTGACGATTGAAAAGTTGAAGTCATCACGTTTATCATAAAGCTTTGTTGTTAGGTTACCATTAAGGACCCTGGTCTGCTAATAAGGGGGTGCAATTGGTACCCATGGTAATTCCAGCAGATTGTTGAAAGACTTGATCCAAAAACTACATAGATATTGTCGATCAGAAACTCAAGCATCTTAAATTTTTCATATCAACTACAAGTACTTGTGTGTACAATCAGAATGCTTTTTAATTTTGTTAATGACAAGGTAAGTTTATTTACGAGTTCCATTCTTATTGAAAAAGCAGCTGTCTATGATGTCAAAAAGCCTGGACTTGAATTTATCATGGGGAATGGTTGTATAAAGTGATGATAAGTCGTACTTTTTGATACTATTCAATAAAATTTGATTTCAAATTTTCCAAAAGTTCTTTGGAGTTTTTAAGTATCCATATCTGATTTACACCACTTCTCGAATATACTGTTGTACAGTACTCGTGAAGTTTCTCCTTCAGTGGAATGTAATAAAAGAATATATTTGAAAGACTAAATGAATTTATTAATATGTAATGGTTTCAGCTGATAAAGCTTGTTGCAATATAGTCTTTGCCTGTAAAATTCATTAATATGGCAGCATTGTGGAAGAGTTTGGCTTTTATTGCAGCCCGGAGGACCGGGCTGCTCTATACATATAAGTTTAAGTGTTGGTATATGGGGATTGAGGTGGGAGAAGGTATTCAGAATTAAAGGTTTTCTAAATATTAAAAAGATTGTTAATCAGAATGTTCTTTCCCTTTATAAATTACGAGATACACAATATATTTACTTCCATAAAGTGAATCTGTAAAAATATATATGTTTTTCATATTTAATATATAAAGTTGCTTATCATTTATTATCGAAAAAACGACAGGTCCCTTTTTTTTAGAACATCGAATTTTACTTGTCGCATAAAAACGTAAAAATGTACTTTACACAGTTCGTGTTTTATATTCTTAAAGTGAAAGACATTTTTGAAAATAGGTGATGCATGTGTCTGGTTTCAAATTATATTTTATGCGGCCAACATTTACTTGAGAAATTGAT